GTAAGGCTGCTTTTCCAACCCGGGGTGGATGCACCTGACCGCAATTACGTCGATAGAAAACTGGAAAAAGTCCTAGTGCGAGTATGCCCTTAAAGAACACTGAATGCGGAAATAAAACCTATCACATTTGCCTTGGGCACAGCGTCCTCAATTTGTAACAAGTAAAAATAAAATAGGGAATAAAACCTATAGCAGGCCTGCCAATGTCCAGAGAAGGTCCGACTCTTTAGCAGAAGAAGAAAAAGAAAGCAATGAGAACAGCAAACACGCGACCACACTGAACTTAAAGAACAGCACGGAGGCAAAGCTGTAAGGAGAACCAAGTTTTTTTTCTCTTTTTTCCTTTTTTGGGGAAACTACGCGGGAGGCCTAGCTGAGTTGGTTAGGCATGCAAGTGGCATTCAGGAGGTTGTGGGTTCAAACCCCGTGAACTGCGGCGCACTTAGTGCCAACGGACTGTGATAGTCCTCTGGATACCCCTGATCGGTATTAGCCGGGTCTATGACCAACACGGGTGTGAGTGTGAGCGTGAGTGGGTTGTGTGTGGTGTGTGGGAGAGTGTTGGCCATAGCCTCTGCTGTTACTCGATGAGGGGTGGGGGACGATGAAAAAGGGAGGTGCAGCTACTGGCAAAATGCTCGGTCTTTGCGTTAGCCAAAGACCCCGCCCCATCTCTGCGTTAGCCAAAGACCCCGCCCCATCTCTGACTACGGCTGTTGGGGGGGGGCAACATGAATTACCTCTTTTGCGAGGCCCTATGCTTGCAGGGGTCCCCTCTATATAGTCTTAGGAGTAGTGGTAGGAAGGTAGTGAAAGGGGAGAAAGAATTTGAGAGAAGAACATAGTGTAGTTAAAATTTAAAAAAGTAGAAAAAAATTGAGTTATAATTATTGCACTTTGGGCCAAGATACAGTTTCGAAATGCAGTTCAGGCAATGTATACAACCCAGCTTTCTGGCCAGGTCTAGGGTGCCCGAAGTGCAATTGCAAACTGTATCTTGCCCATATTGCAATAATATCTCGTTTTTGTGACTCTACTGAAGTTACCCTTTTTTTGTTTTCAACTCTACAGTGAAAAATTGTTCCCTCTAGAGTTCTCCCGCCTGCAGCGCCCGTTTCCTCTAGGGTCCTCGGTCTTCACCCGAATAGAACGCCCGGTCATTATCGCTGCATCTGGACTGACAGTTGGGCCAAATGCAGCTACAGTTGGGCCAAATGCAGCTATAATAACCGGGCGTTCTATTCGGGTAAAGCCGGTAGCCTCAAAAGGGCTGAGAGTCAACCACAAGTCTGAGTGGACAAACAAGGCTGGCGGTGGCAGTGTCTGTTCATGGAACGGGGCTGCTGTAGACAGCCGAGAGTGTGGGCCCATCTATCTTTCCATGTCGTAGCAGAAGGTTCTCGCACCACTGCCGGTATAGCGGGCTTGCCAAAAGGAAAATTCAACCGGGGAACAAAAATTGGGGGAAACTACGTGGGAATCACAGAAATGAGTTATAACTGCACAAGGGTGCAAGATGCAAAATCGAATTGCAGTTCGGGCAATGTACACAACCCAGTTTTCTAGCCAGGTAGGGTGCCCGAAGTGCAATTGCAAACTGTATCTTGCCCCATAGTGCAATTAGAACTCGTTTTTTGTGACTACTGAAGTTAACCCCCCCAAAAAAAGAAGATTCATCTCAATTTGCAGATTTGGCCATTTATTTCCTGGCTCCATTACACTAGTGTTAGAGAGTCCATGGAGAGTAGCACCCTCTACTGTAAGTGGAGCGAGGCCAACTTTTTTGCTGATTTCTAGAGTCTGACAACTCTAGGAGTCTAGACTATTTCCTAGAGTCTAGTGTATGATTTCTAGAGTCTGACAACTCTAGATGGACTGTAGACTATTTCCTAGAATCTAGTGTATGATTTCTAGAGTCTGACAACTCTAGATGGACTTAAGACTATTTTCTAGAGTTTAGTGTACGATTTCTTGAGTCTGAGAACTCTAGATGGACTCTACACTATTTTTTAGAGTCTAGTGTATGATTTCTAGAGTCTGACAATTCTAGATGGACTCTAGACTATTTTCTAGAGTCTAGTGTATGATTTCCAGAGTCTGACAACTCTAGATGGACTCTAGACTATTTTCTAGAGTCCAGTGTAGTGGAGCGAGAACCATAGAGCCAAACCAACCATTCCTATTTTAAAAGTAGAGACTGAACTCAATCCGATCGATCGGGCTAGGACAGTCCGGGCACAAACCAAGCAGCCACCCCTCTGGGCATTTCAGCTACCGGCTCGCTGCATTACTCACGAAATGTGCAAAACGAGAATGAATCTTCCGCTAGAACATGGAAATATACGCGGCCATGTTTTTGTCTTTTGCGAATGCATGTGGTGAGTAGTCAAGCTGGGCCCGTCGCCTCGTCTGGAGGCTTCAAACCACAACCCCAAAGCTCAATGCAAAAAAAAAAAAAAAAAAAAAAAAAAGCGCTCAATGCAAGAGCTTTATCCTACACGGGAAAAAAAAAAAAAAAAGTTCACAGCTAAACGGCTGCTATGTCCAAAACAGGAAAGCGATGAACTTTTTTTCTTTTTTAAATAAGCAAAACATCATTCGGGGAGCTCATACTACAGACAGGAACGCCGATCAAAACTTTCTATATACAGAATGCACAACAAACCAAAACCTAAAGAGCATACTTACACTAGCGCTATGCTATATGAACCTCATCCCGATTACGACTGCACCGAGATGTGAGACAATCGCGAAATTCATCTGAAAACCAAAAACTGAAGGAAAAAAAAAAACAAAAAAAAACACAGTATTCGATGTTGGAAAAAAAAAACAGAAACGGCGATTGCAGCGGGGTGCAGGGGAATGTGCTTCGCATTCCTGAACTTTTTCATTTTTTCATTTTTTTTCGGGTTGTAGCTCGCTCCGGAAAAATTCATTCAATTGGAAGAAAAAAAAGACACTTTCTGTTCCCAATCCAACAAGAAAGAAAGAAAAAAAGACAGAGAGAGAGAGAGAGAGGCTATCCCGTGCTGCCACGTGGCCGCACAGTCCACGTGGTGAGAGAAAGAGAGAGGTCGTGATCGAGAGAGAGAGAGAGAGGCCAGGATTGAGGTGGGGATCGAGAAAGAGAAAGAAAGGGAGGGAGAGGGAGAGAGTGCGAGTGAGGCAATCCCATGCTGCCACGTAGTGAGAGCGAGAACGCTCGACGGAGAGAGGGCGAGTGGGGCAATCCCGTCCTGCCACGGGTTTAGAGAGAGAGATAAGAGGGAGAGAGAGAGAGGTCAGGATCGAAAGAGGTCCGGATCGAACTTGGCTATTTTTCTATGACAATGCGGGTTGGCTTTCCCGGAAAAATAAAATAAAAAATCTAGGCTGTGCAAAATCGAGTGTGGCGACAAGGGTGATTATTACCATAACGGCCCCCCTCTCTGAGCTTGGCCGGTGATGCCACGTTCATTGGGGGACCCATAACTGTTTCAAAAGCTACGCCGGGACCGATTGACGGCTTGAAATATAAGAAGCAGTCTTTCTTTAAAAGAAAACGACAACAGAAAAAAAACGGGTGTGTTGACTTGAGCACTCCCTTTAGATAAATGGCAATTGGTTTTTAATTAACAAATGTGTTTAAACAAGTTATAATTTTTGAATTTTTTTGACAGATGAAAATAAATAAGTGTAGTGAAACCTTTAACCAAAGAAACATAAGTTAAAAACTTCAATCCACACAAACATATATTTTCCACCAAAAAAAAAAATTTGACATATACTAATTAACTTAGCAAACGAAAAGATATCAAAACTTCGATATATTTCACTCAGAATCGTACGTAACTGAAAAATCTAAATATGAATATAAATCTGCAGAGCAAGAACATTTTGTTCAAATATTTTCCATAAAACAGAAATGCTGTATTAAAATTCTTAGCCGACAAATAACCGAGATGACCTTAATGCAAAATTCTGTACGTGTTAAACGACTTTAAGCATCAAAATTTCACTAATTAACAATATTTAATATCATATTGGACAGTATGGGTGTCGGGATCGGGGGCAGAGGGAGGGTGGGGCAATCCCATGATGCCACGTGGCAGTGCATTGCCACGTAGAGAGAGAGAGAGAGAGAGAGAGAGAGAGAGTCTCTGCATCTCTCCTCCTCTTGTTTGTCAAGAGGCAGCGCAGAGACAGAAAGACAGACAGACAGACTGACAGAGACAGATCTGGAGAGAGCAGAAGCGGCCGATGCTTTTCAGGGGACATAGAAACTTACGAGTACTGCTGCTTAAAAATGACTTTGGACTGCTGCTTTAAAATGCCATTCGAGATCGAGGCCGGGATCGAGAGAGAGATCTGCCAGACTGCGTACACAGATCCCACCCGCTCCATCTCTCCTCCTCTTGTCTGTCAAGAGGCAACGCAGAAGCCGACGGAGACGGAGACAGAGACAGAGACAAACAGAGATAGATTTGGAGAGAAGCGGCGGATGCTTTCCATGGAAGATAGAAACTTACCAGAAGTGCTGCTTAAAAATGACATTCGTGATCGAGGTCGGGATCGAGAGAGAGAGAGAGAGAGAGAGAGAGAGAGAGAGAGAGAGAGAGAGAGAGAGAGAGAGAGATCTGCCAGACTGCGAACACAGATCCCACCCGCTCCATCTCTCCTCCCCTCGTCTGTCAAGAGGCAACGCAGAAGCACACGTAGACGCAAAGAGAAAGAGACAGAGACAGAGACAGAGACAGAGACAGAGACAGAGACAGAGACAGAGACAGAGACAGAGACAGAGACAGACACAGACACAGACACAGAGATTTGGAGAGGAGCGGCGGATGCTTTTCAGGGAATATAAAAACTTATGAGTACTGGTGCTTAAAAATGGCATTCGTGATCGAGGTCCGGATATATGTATATATATATATAGAGAGAGAGAGAGAGAGGAGAGAGAGAGAGAGATTTTGGGGGAGAGGAGAAGCGGCGAGTGCTATTCAGCGGAGATTGAAACTTACGAGTATTGCTTCTTAAAAATGACTTTCTCCCTATAAGTGCCATCGCCGATCCTGATCGTCCATCGCTCCGAACGTTTCTTGGGCAACGAATCGAGTGCGGCTTGCACACTGCTATAGCGACAAGTCGGGCTCTTGCAAACGTTGATTTCCGTGCCTCCTTGCAATGACCGCCGTCCTCCGCCGTCCTCATCCCCTCTAAGGTGATGCACGGAGCCGCCGCTGGCTATGGCACACACGGCAGTGAAGGCGAACAAAAGGAGCAGCAGTCGTCCTCCGCTTACCGTGGCCATGGCTGTATTCCCTCGTAAGCCTGGCAAGCGAAGGACAACGAATGTGTCTGTCTCTGTGTGGAGTGCGTGAGCGTGTGCCACTCTGACTATGTATGCGTTTATGTAAACATCTGTCTGCAGTTCTGCTGGTGTGCCTTTGTGTTTGTGAGTGTGTGTCTATACGTGACAGAGAGAACGAGAGAGTCTGGGGCGTGGATTGCACGCCGGAGGACAACTCGTATGAGTCAGCGTTGGAGACTCTACGTAATTTCTGAATATGTGTGTGTGTGTGTGTGTGTGTGTGTGTGTGTGTGAGAGAGAGAGAGAGAGAGAGAGAGAGAGAGAGAGAGAGAGAGAGAGAGAGAGAGA